GCAACAATTTCTAGTAGTCCTGGACCTAAAGCCTCGGTCACAAATGCCATTACGAACTGCTACGAATGCCGTACGAACGATTTTCAGACAATGGAAATTCGGAAAGACAATGGAAAGACAGGGAGATTCGTACGAAATTATCGTTCGTACGAACCTTTGTGACCGTAGCTTTAGTTACACATACTCGCAAAGACATGATCCAGAAGAAAAGCTAATTATTTCACCTGATTACAATGATTTGATTGTTGTGTCTACAACCCTATCATTTTCCAGTAGATCCCAGCCAAAGTTATCTTTGCCTAATTAGTATTCTATAATAATCTTTGACCAGATGTTTCCAACAAAGATGACTTTTGTTTTATTTTTTTCAGAGTGTGAAGGGGGTACCTTTGGTTTGGATTGTCTTCAGCAATGTCATTGTGATCCAGCGGCTTGTGAGAAGCAGAGAGGTCTGTGTAATGGACGGTGCCTTGATACCTGGATTGAACCTTACTGTCAAAGTAATTATACCCAACATATATTGTATTCTCTTTTGTTTCCTTGTTCAGCCATTATTATTATTACTATTATTCTTGTTTGTTTCACACTTGAGCATAGTTCAAACATATTTTGTACTGTTTGTTCTGTATAAAGTCCAATTTATATTTTAATGAAGTTTCTCCTACATTATACAGGCAGTAAGCGGAAGTTTACTGTAAAAAAACCCCCACCTTTTCCCCCCTCCAAATGATTATCAGTTACCGTAATCTTGGGTAATCTTTGTACAGTCCAACCTGTGTATAGCGACTGCCCAAGGGAAACACAAAAATTTGTAGACAGGTGGTCCTTGTAGACAGGTTAAGCCGATAGATAAACCTAACAACACAAGTTTCTTTGTTGGTGTTTAAAAATTGAATAAACATTGAGTGGTACGGTTTTTAGACAATATCAAAATACAATTTTTTTTTCTTTTTATTTGTTTAAAATTGTCTTGGATGTTGTTATTCTTATAGTCATATATCAAAAATTATTTAAAAGAAATAAAAAAGAAAGAGCCTGAATAATTGTTTGACAGACAGCGTGCCGCCCACTCACCAGGCCTCACGCAGGCCGCCCAGTGCGCTAACAAGTGAGGCATCGATCGCAAAATTCATGACAATGATGCTGTCTTGTAATGTTTTCAATAGGCAATAGGCCCTTTAATAAAAATGTGCATTTCCTGTTCGGTAATTACATGTTTTGATAAAAAAAAACTTGGGGTTGAATAGATTTTAGTGTGTAAATGACCGTTAGATCTAGCTTCATAGGCTGCCGCTATGCGAGCCGTATACAGCAGAGCGAGTGAATAAAATTTGCTGGTCGCTACATGGCTGGCCCTGGCTGTTGTGTGGGCATTTTCGGTGGCCAGCGGAAGTAAAATGAATGGCCGCAGGTGGTCCTAGTGCCCAGGTTCTTGACTACATGGAATCTCACAGGGGAATTTTCAGTGGTCCTTATGGAGAAGTGTTCCTTATAGACAGGTGGTTGCTAATAAAGGCTTGACTGTACGTAGTACAAAAGTTATTTTCTCAAGTGGATAGACATGATTGATAAAAGTCAGTGGTTTCACGAAGCATGTATGATTTGCATACCAGGAGTATTGCATTGATATACATTAAGCAATTACATTTTGGACAAAGTAATCAGATTTAAAGAACTTCCCTTGTTTAGGTACACCTGCATGAACAAGTAGGCCTACAAGTTTATTTGTGGTAGTTTTTTAATGATCTTGCTTATATAGTTCTTGATAGAAATACTAATACAATGAAGTGACTGGGTTGCAATCTTCTAATGCTGCAGACATGTATATATTTGTATTTGATGTTTTGTATTTTTGTTTGGTTTTTGACAGGAATATTAAGATTATATTGGTCATTCTTTCTAATACAAACGAATCCATTCTTTTATTTTTTAATATTACGATTGGTCAATGTTCTATAAAGTTCATGTAGGATTTGTTTACTATATGTATTGTAACTTAATTGTAAGTTAAATACATAAAGCAAGCAGATTTTATGTATAAAATTGTGTTTATGATTTAATGTTCTTTCTTATTTTTGTCTTGGTTTTTGGCAGGAATATCCAGATTGGTTCCAGTGAGAGTGAACCCATACCAACCATCTAACTTCACATGTTATGTTGAGGGTATCCCACCTCCCGATGCATCCTCAGTTAATCTTTACAGACGTACTGGAAGCACCTATAACACAACAGGAATCACCATGAGATCTAGCACTGTCTCAGGGTCAGAACGAGCTGTTGTCTTTGATCTTGATAGTGTGTATCCACAGGAAGATGATGGGGGATATGAGTGCAGTCTTACTGTTGAAAACAGAGGCTATCCCATTACGCCTACTACCAACCCAACCTATGGTGAGCAAACTGCATGACCTCAGTTTACTCTAATGTATATCTGTGAGATATACCTGTTTAATAAGAAGCATGATATCACTTTCTTTAGATGCAGAATCATTCTCACCGGGTTACAGGGGATTGCATCAGTTATATGTTGTTGGAGGTTTTTCTGAAATTTCATGTCAAAAGAAGAGGCTGGCACATGCCTTCCCTCTCAGTGTAATAACAACCACAACACTGCCACCATCAACAGGAACTGTTACAACAACAATGACAACCACAACTACACCACAAACCAGCAGCACAACTACAACAGCCACAACAAAAACAACCTTTTCATCAGCAGCAACAGTCACAACAGCTGTAACAACAACAACAATAAACTGCTATCTATTGATATTAACAAGGAATGTCTGTTCCTATATTGATACAGTTGTTTGTACATGCAAGTCGCATCATGCAAATTGACCCGTACATAAGCCCATTGGCTACATGTGAATTAATTAATGAACTTTATATTTCAATAAATAATAATGATAATATTCTGGGTTTATAGTACTTGATTCATCTACAATGTATCTACCGGTATGCACTAATTATTACCCCTGTCATCGGATTCAGGCTAGCTGCATTCTCCACATGATACTTTTGCAGTTCTGTAAGATGTCAGTATAGTTCATGTGTAATTTTGACTTTATGGAAGAACTTAGAGTATAGGTGTGTCATTGGTTTTGACTGGTATTTCAATAAATTAAATTAAATGTTATTGTCTCTTTTTGTTTTTCTTCAGTTCTGCCAGTCATTGATATAGCACCAGTGATAGTGAGTACTACCTCAACTACAGTAGATCTTCGATGGAATGCATGGTCTGAAGAAGATGACATAGGTGATCCTCCTCTGGTAGGATATGATGTCTTTGTAAAGAAGGATGGTGACTGGGTAACGGATCAGAGAGTAGAGCAACCCACAACATCAGCCTTTGTTATCAACCTGACACCCGACACAGAATACAGGTTTCGTGTGGCAGCAGTGAGGGAAGGAACGGGTGGAACAGGACCAGAGTCTCCTAGGAGCGAAACAATAACTCTCTGTAGAAGTAAGTTATACTCAGGAGGGAAAAAAAAGAAAAAAAATCAAACATTTTTTTACAGGTACATTGTTTTTGCATTAGTAAGTGCTTTGTACATTTACATATACATTTGGGGTATTTATGCACTTTTTATGCCTCCGTTACGAAGTAGCCGGAGGCATTATGTTTTCGGGTTGTCCGTCCGTCCGTCCGTCCGTCCGTACGGACGGACGGTACGTACGGACGTCTGTACGTACCGTCTGTACGTACGTCCCGTTCTCGTGATCGCGTTATCTGAAGAACCGATTGATGGATTCCTGCCAAACTTTGGTCATGTATATATCTTGCAGAGCCGATGAACTGTTTAGATTTTGGGGTCACGAGGTCAAAGGTCACAGGGCTCATTATGTATGCAAAAACAGCTCGTGATCGCGTTATCTGAAGAACCGATTGATAGATTCCTGCCAAACTTGGGTCATGTATGTATCTTGCAGAGCCAATGAACTGATTAGATTTTGGGGTCACGAGGTTAAAGGTAAAGGTCACAGGGCTCATTATGTATGCAAAAAACAGCTCCTGATCGCGTTATCTCAAGAACTGATTGAAGGATTGCTGCCAAACTTAGGTCATGTATGGTACGTGCATAATTGATGAACTGAGTAGATTCTTGGTTCATAAGGTCAAAGGTCAAAGGTCATGGGCTCATTATGTTTGCGAAAATAGCTTGTGAACGCATTCTCATTAGAACTGACAGATGGATTACTATTTAACTCAGGACATCTTGCAGAGCCAATAAACTGAGTAGATTTTAGGGTCATGAGGTCAAAGATCAAAGGGTCATATATGTATATGAGAAAGTGCTTGTAATCACGATATTCTGAGAACCTGTTAATGGATTACAATTGAACTTGAATTCGAAAAATTTCTTCTGTTTTGGTTTGTAAAATTGCTCTATAACGGAGGCATCATTTTCGACTGCGCGCAGTCGAAGTTCCATCTAGTTATTGATTGAATGCACTTTCCATTGAAATCTTTGAATTATCTTGTTTTTTGAGTAAAATCTGTACAAAGAAATATTTGTATTTTCCATCCCATACATTCTGTTTTTTAATTTAAAAAAAAAGTTTTTATCTTTCTAAATTGTGACAAAGAAAATTTCTTCTACAAAGCATGCATTTCCCCCAAAAATGTTTATAGTACCCTTACTGTGTTTTTCCCAATGGTAGTTATATGTTTCACTCTGAATAAATATTTGATTTAAAACCACATAAAGAGTACTTGTTGGAGCGTATAATAATAATAATGTCGTAGTACGTGTGAGACGATAAATGAAACTCGGGAAACGTGTGTTAGCGTAACCGGTGCTTTAATTCATAAACCGTTGATTCTCGGTGATTCATGCACGCAGAAACGGAAAAAAAACCCTGCAATTGGCAGAATAATAAAACAAAACATGTTTTAGTATTTCAAACAATTACAAATGTCATCTTCACAAATACATGATTATATCAATGAAATAAATCAAAGTAATTACTAAACAGAGATATTGTATATCCTCTTGATTAAATGTCATATTAAGTAATTACAACTTGATCTCCAAATCAAATCTGTTTCATCTTGATTCTCTTGTAAAATCACTGAAATCAAATATTATAATCATTAACTGGAATGACATAATTATATCTAAACATCAAATCAGCTGTAAGAATCTCAAACAGTAATCAGAGCATCATACTTGCATCAGACAAACAAGAATACATGTACTTATCTGTAAGTATTTATAATACGATGGAACAAATATAAAATTGTCCCATAACATCAATATACATATAAATTGTTAAACACACTGCAATATTAGACTGAGTAAAGTTACACAAAGTCTGTTGCAAACTTTACCAGAATATCATTAAAACATACCCAAAGTCTTCAGCAATAAACCACTGAAGCTCTCAACTACAGTGGAGAAGGAAGTGAAGGGGAAAAGGGAGACACCAAGAAACTACCAGCAATCAACTCAGCTCAGCTCAGCAACAGAAGCTGCAACATGCAAGTCCTGATCTTGCCCCTATAATAATGTAACAACAATAACAGTTACAAGTATTTGCTCTCTAAATCACACTAATGTAAATTCTCATATCATCTACAGCTAATAGTAAATAGCTAGACATAAACGCCACAGGAAAATATCAACAATATTCTTCATATCATACACCCAAGGTGTATAAAACTATCATCAACTCACATCTAGGAATCAACTATGGGCGCCGCCATCTTGCTAGCTTATTTACATCTTACTGCCCTCAACGTCAAGATACATTTTTACTTCACATGTGTGTGAAATACAAAATGGGAAAATTAATCCTTAAATTATCTTTGCAATCCCTCAAAATATCTTTTCCGAAATATGACGAAAGAAAATGTTGCATAAAACAATTTTAGCACAAATGTCTCTGACATTTTATCTATAAACAGCGTAATATGACCAAATTAATGCCCTAACCAAAACTTCTGTTCAACATCATAAACAGGCATTCTTATCATCATAATTACTTCAAACAGACATCTATATCCACCTCAAACTATGCATTATCACTCACTATGATACAGGATTAAACCAAATATCTATTTCAATAAGCATAACTTACTCGAAAATACTGCCAAACAGTTGAACCAAAACCCTCGCTAAAACAAGGAAACCGCGTGACTCTGTAATACACAGCTACAGGCACAGCAACAACGTCCTCTCCGCAATTGAACGTGACATGAATGTGATTCAATACTAATATGTATGTTAACACATTAACGTGGGCGGCGTATTACACAATAAATCATTCATCCGCAAAATCATGTGCAACACGCGTAGCGAACTAATTTGCATAATCGGACAAGTCCGCGATCTACATAAAACATAAACTAGTCCACATTCCCACAGTTTCCCCGCTTAAACAGCTTTCGTCCCGAAAGCGCCAATGTGTACCTATGTAACATAAAATTCCTCATCGATAAACATTCAATCAAACTTCAATTGAAAAAGAACCTATAGACCATTATACTGTAATATCTTTTCTGTAACACAAAAAGAACATTATCCTATAGACTATACACAATTTCTTTTTTTCCTTTCTTCAACATCAAATATATCCTTAATCATAATGTACAACAGTATGATTAAAAAAAAAAAATCCTTTCTATACACCTCACTACTGTATACCAACTATAGTATACAAATCTCCAATGAGTGCTATCAAATGAGATCACTGCATACTAATCTGGCTCCAATGACGAAAATATAAACCTTATTTCCTGCATAACAAGCCAATCTGAACTATTTACATAAAAATAAGTCAACATCATTTAGCTTGCCTTATCAAAAACTGTTGAAGCCTTGTTATACATAACATATATTTATGCCACTTATAAGACTTGAATTTCCTAATTCTCCTTCAAATACAAGTTCCTAAACAAATTCTGTTTGTAGCCTATTCTTTTCCCTCTTTTCTTTTTTTTTTTTTAGAACAAAAACAAAGAAAATCATGAATATCCAGGCAATCTTCCCCGCTTATTTCATGCTGAAATACTCTATCTAAAAAATTGTCGAAAATATATATATATATATCCCTTCCCAACTGATGCAACTAAACGGTTCCTCTTCGCCGCTTTCGATGCGCACATCACTTAACTCCATCAGGGGGGTAATCCGGTGATCGCCGACATCGGCAGTCGACCAGGATTAGGATTCACTCCTTTGTTAATTCTACTTGATCGTCTGGGCTCCGTCACACCTGCGTCAATAACGTGATGAGGTAACTCCTTCCATGAAAGAGTGTAACCGTTCTCATGATCATCCTCCTCATCGTCGTCGTCGTCGTCATCATCACTACTTTGATGGATAACGTCATTTCCAATGTTAATACCACGCCCAAGCTCTGCTACATCTGGGTAGGGTAAAATACCATCAAGGCCATCATTTTCCTGACGAGGGTCTGCAATAATTCTGCGTCTATTTACCCACTTGGTAACCCCTCCAAGGGCAGGTTGAATGTTATATAAATCACCCTCCTCGTTCTTGGCTAAAATGATGAAGGGTTTCTCGTCAAACTTGTCGTGTAATTTGTGCCTCCCTGTAAATGCCTCGTTCTTGAGCAACACTCTCTCTCCAACTTCCAGGGTAGACAAATCACCTCTTCCTTTGGCCTGTCTCTCTTCCTCTTTCTTTGCTGCTTCTCTCTGTCTATCACAAACTATCTTGTAGGCTCTCTCCATCAATCTCTGCTGTGCTTGAGCATAATCATCCGTACAATCAGAATGGAGACTGTTTATCAAATGATCCACTGGCAACGTAGGTCTGCGACCGAACATTAGAAAATGTGGAGTCACTCTCGTTATCCTGTGCGGTGTAGAATTGTACACATATACCACATGCTGGATTAACTCAGGCCATCTATTCCTATCTCTAGGATCCAGCGATCTCAGCAATCCACACAGCGTCTTGTTGAACCGTTCACACTGGCCATTTCCATGTGCCAGATCTAGTGTTGAGAAGTACTTCGCATCTCGAAGTGCATCCAGGGTCTCCTCTATTCTGGGCAACGGAAAAGAATCCTTCACCGTGCGAGCATTGACCTTCCTATAATCTATACATAGTCTCAAAGATCCATTCTTTTTCTTCATCAAGACAATCGGACTGGCGAACGGGCTCTTGGATGGGCGAATTATCCCCCGTTCCACCATCTCTTGCAACATCTGCTTAACCTCAGGAATCAAAGCTGGAGGGATACGCCTGTATGGAAGTCTAACTGTTGGTCCATCTACCAGCTGAATGTGATGAGGTACCACATTGCACTCCCCAAGATCAAATGCACCTGCAGAAAAAACATCAGCATGCTTCTGAAGAAGTTCTCTCACTTTCTCTGTTTGATCCTCTGTTAGACCTTCCAACTTCACACCTGGCGGAAGACAGGAAACAGCCTCTACCGACTCCGGAGACATCCTCACTGGTGAGTCGACTCCCTCTATCACGACATCACACATTGATACTCTTAACTGTTCATCGTGCAGATCTAAGTAGAGTTGTCCTGTTCTTTTCACAGCCAGAGCTTCGGCAACACGGGTGTCAGGCGGTAGATGAACCTCTTGTCCAGATGTGTTGGACATAAACAATTCAACATCATCCCCCTTCAACTGCTGACAACCTTCAACTGCACTCAGCGTCGAACTTGGCTCCTCATCTGACTCTCTCACCAAGATCTCAGCTCCTGGCGTAATGGTGTTCCTCTCCACATGGCACATCACCCTTCTAACTGTATAGGGAGGGAATACCTCCAATCTTCCTGTCCTTACTGGTGATGGGCAACCGTTGCTCTCCATGGTTGTGGGTGCCTTAGATCGAAAACCAAATTCGATGTCATATCCATCCAAATTCTGCAAAATGTTACAACCTAGTAGAATAGGATACTCCGATGCAGTGCCACTGCATTCTCTGTCAACTACTACCAGGAATCCTCCTTGTAGTGACTGCCCTCTGACCTTGATGGGAACTTCAACAAAACCCTCTATAGGCACTTCAATTTCACCAACGCCTACAACATTGAGAAAAACTCCTGGCTCCTGCTGAGGTCCTCCCAGCCTCTCCTTCAAACATCGATGATACACTGATGCTGGAATAATGGAAGCCTCTGCTCCAGAATCAAAAATACATCCAATATCTAATCCCGCGATATGGACTGTTCCTTTCGGACATGGTGCCACAAAGCGCTTAGCAAACTCTGATGGAACCTGATGACGTGTATCCATCGTCCCTCTCTTTGCTCCAGGCTGAGGAGATGCCATCGTTGGTGAAGGAGGCTGGGTAATCGACTGTAACTTCTGTGGACACTGCCGGCTAATGTGTCCTCGCCCTTTACAGGTGAAACACAACGTCTCCTCCTCGCACTCATTCCTCATGTGCCCTGTCTTACCACAGTTGAAACATCGATTCTTCTTCTGTGGAGCTCTTCCAGCATTCACCTTGCTATCCACCAAGGCTTCCACACACCTTCTGAGTGATGCCACATCTTCCTTAAGGGAATTCATCTCACCCTTCCACTCAGCATCTGCATTCTTGGTAGTTGCCACATGAACATCGACAGAGCTACTCACTTCCTTAACTGGAATCGCCTTGGTCTCTTGACCCCTGAAGAATTCCAGCACATCCTCCCTCAACTGTAAGAAGGTCTTGCCCTTCGCTGCCAGCTCCATTCTGCGCAGCTCTCGTTGCATCCACACCTGGCTGCTACCTGTGACAAATCTCTCCTTCAAGGATGTGTCTCTAAGTTGAGTCAAAGCTTGCTTCTCATCACTGCTCGATGCAGCTTTCTCCATCCTCGTGTAGATTCGCATTAAAATCCTACTATAATCGGCGAGTGTCTCACCACCATGCTGCCTCCTACTATGGAATTCAGCCGTTAATGACTGAACAGTGTCCACTGCACCAAACAATGATCGTAGCACAGCAACAAGCTGGTCAAAGTCCTTGAGGATTCTCTCTTCCCTGCACAAAACTTCCTCCTTGGCCACTCCTCCCAAATGATCCACTAAGGACTGGGCCTTTGCAACATCTTTAAGCTGGTAGTGTCGACAATAACTGTCAAAGTTCTCCAGCCACTCCTGCAAGGACAAATCACCAGCTACCTGTGGTGAACCCTTGAACTTGCTCAACTTCACTGGCGGTGGCGCCTTCTGCACATTCAGTCCTTGAAGAACACTAGTCAGGGTCTCCAACATCTCTGTCACTGTTTCAGCCATCGCTACAAAGGCTGTAACAAGTATAGTAGGGGAAAAACAGGTAAGTTACACCTTACTCTACTATCAAAACATGTACTGAATAGATATAACTGAATCTACAGTATTAAATACTGAACACTTGGGACTTACAACAAATCCTTGTTACCCTGGTTGGTAACCAAAAAAAAAAACATTCTCAGTTCCAGTCAATTCAGTCTCTATCAGTCTATGGTCCTTGTGGATAGTTCATTCTCAATACCGCTCTTCCATCTATCCGAGCAGTAATCATAAGTTCGAAGTTCTATGCTCAGTAAGTCACCACCAAAGATTATCTACCCGAGCTGTCTGCAAGCTCGGTTATCTGCGAAGATCGTCTAGGCCGGTCCTCTCAGACCACGCAGTGGGGTTGCTCATCCAAGACCGTGGGGTTTCCCTCATTGTCTGCGCTGACTTCATCCCATCCTCGTCGCCAATTTGTCGTAGTACGTGTGAGACGATAAATGAAACTCGGGAAACGTGTGTTAGCGTAACCGGTGCTTTAATTCATAAACCGTTGATTCTCGGTGATTCATGCACGCAGAAACGGGAAAAAACCCTGCAATTGGCAGAATAATAAAACAAAACATGTTTTAGTATTTCAAACAATTACAAATGTCATCTTCACAAATACATGATTATATCAATGAAATAAATCAAAGTAATTACTAAACAGAGATATTGTATATCCTCTTGATTAAATGTCATATTAAGTAATTACAACTTGATCTCCAAATCAAATCTGTTTCATCTTGATTCTCTTGTAAAATCACTGAAATCAAATATTATAATCATTAACTGGAATGACATAATTATATCTAAACATCAAATCAGCTGTAAGAATCTCAAACAGTAATCAGAGCATCATACTTGCATCAGACAAACAAGAATACATGTACTTATCTGTAAGTATTTATAATACGATGGAACAAATATAAAATTGTCCCATAACATCAATATACATATAAATTGTTAAACACACTGCAATATTAGACTGAGTAAAGTTACACAAAGTCTGTTGCAAACTTTACCAGAATATCATTAAAACATACCCAAAGTCTTCAGCAATAAACCACTGAAGCTCTCAACTACAGTGGAGAAGGAAGTGAAGGGGAAAAGGGAGACACCAAGAAACTACCAGCAATCAACTCAGCTCAGCTCAGCAACAGAAGCTGCAACATGCAAGTCCTGATCTTGCCCCTATAATAATGTAACAACAATAACAGTTACAAGTATTTGCTCTCTAAATCACACTAATGTAAATTCTCATATCATCTACAGCTAATAGTAAATAGCTAGACATAAACGCCACAGGAAAATATCAACAATATTCTTCATATCATACACCCAAGGTGTATAAAACTATCATCAACTCACATCTAGGAATCAACTATGGGCGCCGCCATCTTGCTAGCTTATTTACATCTTACTGCCCTCAACGTCAAGATACATTTTTACTTCACATGTGTGTGAAATACAAAATGGGAAAATTAATCCTTAAATTATCTTTGCAATCCCTCAAAATATCTTTTCCGAAATATGACGAAAGAAAATGTTGCATAAAACAATTTTAGCACAAATGTCTCTGACATTTTATCTATAAACAGCGTAATATGACCAAATTAATGCCCTAACCAAAACTTCTGTTCAACATCATAAACAGGCATTCTTATCATCATAATTACTTCAAACAGACATCTATATCCACCTCAAACTATGCATTATCACTCACTATGATACAGGATTAAACCAAATATCTATTTCAATAAGCATAACTTACTCGAAAATACTGCCAAACAGTTGAACCAAAACCCTCGCTAAAACAAGGAAACCGCGTGACTCTGTAATACACAGCTACAGGCACAGCAACAACGTCCTCTCCGCAATTGAACGTGACATGAATGTGATTCAATACTAACATGTATGTTAACACATTAACGTGGGCGGCGTATCACACAATAAATCATTCATCCGCAAAATCATGTGCAACACGCGTAGCGAACTAATTTGCATAATCGGACAAGTCCGCGATCTACATAAAACATAAACTAGTCCACATTCCCACAATAATAATACATGTAGCTCGTTCTTATATAGCGCTTTTCAGGACCGGAGGCCCTCTCAAAGCGCTTTACAGATAAATATATTATTACCCCGGTCATTGGATTCAGGCTTACCCACACACAATGTATGCACATTCTCCACTCCCTGGGGAGCATTCCAGCCAGGCATCATTTTTACAAGCGCACACTTGCCAATCTAACCACATTAGCTTTCGCATCCTACCGGGTACCCATTTAACACCTGGTATGTTTGTAGGGTTTTACCATGACCTGCATGTATATGTTATTAATTCATCTTCTATAGGACCAAGCCATCTAGTATCTTCTATATAATTTTTAACTTCAGAACCAAGTGCTTCTCCAACTGGACTACAAGTTTCAGCCATCAACCCTAAAGAGTTAGAGGTGACATGGGAGGTATGAACTGTTTTAAGAATAGTTTTTGGTCGCTTCGTGAAATGTAGTTGGATCGAAAGACTCCTCCAGAGCACAAAATGCATAACTGTTCAGTCACAATTTTATAACATTGAGGTAGAACTACACTGTTATAATATGTAGCTGGTAAATATCTCTTTTACCTTGACTACGCTTCACTTGATTTTATCTAATATTTAACTGAGATATGTCAAATATTAACATTAATTATTAAACTCACTTCACTATTATGCCTTTGGCATTCTGGATTCCTTTTTACTTCTCAACATTTGACTAAACAAAATAATTTGGATTTAAAAAAAGGTGTACAAATTTCTCTGTTTGCCAGTTAAAAGTGTGTAATCAAATGGAGTTTAATTTTATTTCACAGAGCAAATAAAGAAATGTTTTGTAGTCAAGAGATTCGTGTTCTGCAGGATGCTCCATCATATTGATTGCAGCATCCTTATAGATGTGAAAAATTGTAGACAAAATATGATAACATCTTGTAGTTTTGTGTATTAGTGTGAAAGTAACTTCTTTTATGTGGTTGTGCTGCATATAACATATATTTGTACCGATATGTTTCAGCACCTCCCCTCAGAATCAGCAGAATGCAGGAGTGGAGTGACCCATTATATGATCTACTATGCTCCCTCTGGTTCAACTTCTTCAAACTCTATCTTGGTTTCTCGTGACAATAGCTCCTATGTGATAAGAGGGTTAGAAACCTATCTGGACTATACCATTCAATTGACTGCATCAAATAAAGACAAGGAGAGTGAAAGGAGCAGTGAGACTATCAGCAAAACACTTGAAGAAGGTAAGGCTTCATCAGCTAGTTATCTTGGATTTTTGAAAGGAAATAGTCTTATTCCTATAGATACATGTATAGTGAAATATGTGCAAGGAGGCGGAGGAGGAGGAGGAGGAGGAGGAGAAGGGGGAGGGGGAGGGGGAGGGGGAGGGGGAGGGGGAGGGGGAGGGGGAGGGGGAGGGGGAGGGGGAGGGAAGGGGGAGGGGGAGGGGGAGGAGGAGGGGAGGGGAGGAGGAGGAGGGGGAGGGGGGGGGGGGGGGGGGGGTGAGGGGAAGAAGAAGAAAGCATTTGCAATCCATGAACATTTACACCCTCTCATGCAAGAGTTTACAAGTTTTTTAATATAGACCTTCCTGCTTTCCCTTCACAGTTGCACCTAGTCCTATCGATGTGGCTATACTGCGGAGTACTACAAGCTCCTTCACTGTATTCTGGTCTACCCCTCTACCCTCTAACACCAATGGTAACATCCAGAAGTATATCATCCGCTACCAGCAAACTGATCCCGTTGTTGATGGTGACTATAAGATGGAGGAAGTATTGAACGGTGCATTTGAAGGAGAACATACTGTGGTAGACCTGATAGCAACAACAAACTACTCAGTCCAGGTAATACATCTATATGTATTGATATGTACACGTATGTATATAATAATAATAATAATAGCCTAATAGTCCACTCCAAATTTTATTCTAGGCCTGTGATTGCTCAAAACTGCAGGCATAAAATTTGCTATAGACTGCTTGGTAGTATAGCAAAAGAATATGATTGGGGATACCTCTATATGAACTTAAGCATACAATGCAAGGATGCACGCAGAGATTGAGCACTTTTGTCTGAGATTTGACGTCACCTGGCCTCTAAAAGGACGACTGGATATGAGCTTTTTAGAACCTACACTGTGAGGCCTTTGTTCATAGAACATAAAAGAGCAAATTTTGTGTCCTTGTAAATGCATCTTGAAAGGGCACAAAGGTATGGTCTTTTAGAAGAGTTAAAGTATTAAATCTAGATGGATCTTCGACTGTGTGCATTGAAAATGATGCAAACCAAAACAGAAGCAATTTTTGAAATTCAAATTTGATTGTAATAACAGGTTTTCATAATATCTTGATTACAAGCTGTTTTTCATATACATGTATGACCCCTTGATCTTTGACCTCATGACCCTAAAATCTGATGAGTTCATTGGCTCTGCAAGATACATACTTGATATTATAATCCATCCGTCGGTTCTATTGACAATGCGTTCACAAACTATTTTTGCATACATAATGAGCCCCATGACCTTTGACTTTTGACCTCATAACCACCCCCCCCCCCCAATCTAATCAGTTCATTGGCTCTGAAACATGACCCAAGTTTATCTGTTCATCTGTTCTTGAGATAACACAATCACAAGCTATATTTGCCTAACTAATGAGCTCTGTGACCTTTCACCTCATGGCCCCAAAATCTTATTAGTCCATTGGCTCTGCAAGATACATACATGACTCAATTTTGTCGGCAATCCATCAATCAGTACTCAAAATAATGCAATCACAAGCTATTTTCCCATAATAAATGAGTCCTGTGACTTTTGACCTTTGACCTCATGACCCCCAAATCTATTCAGGTTATTGGTTCTGCAAGATACTTACATGACTTAAGTTTGGCGGTTATCCATCAATAGGTTCTTGAGATCACGAGAACGGGACGTACGTATGGATGGACGGACAGACAACCCAAAAACATAATGCCTCTTGACTACTTTGTAGTGGAGGCATGAAAACATTATAAATAGAGCAAGTTGCTTTTGGATAAGTAACCTGAGATGTGCCCTGACTTGGATGATAGAATTTCAAGAAAAAGGTCAAATGTATAGAATTCTTTTTGTTATGATATCCGTGTTTCTTATATAGGTACAGACTGTTAATGGAGCCGGTTCTAGTAATTGGTCAGAACCTGTGAATGCTAAGACGATACAAACAGGTAAGAGCATTATAAGGCTGATAAATTGTGTGTTTACCCATAACCTTTTCCATGAGATATATCCTTTGGCTCAAGTTGCTTCTTCAACAGGGGTTGAAAATACAGATTGACGCCAAAGGAAATGAGTGACATGAAGCAGAATTGAATCCTGCTTTCATGTACTTAAAAGGGATTGTTTAACAATGTTAAATCTGAGATGCACGGCCCTACATGTCATCAGTGTCTGTGATATGGTGTAATATTGAAGCCCTAACAAAATTGCACTTCAAAAAATGAAAAAACCTTTTGAGTGACCGGTTTTACCATACTTGTTTTCCCCAATAGACTGTGGTGTTATGAAAACCGTTTGGCAAACGCAAAATTTGATTTTGATTTTCAATCATAAATATCTTGATAATCAGACAGGCGATCGGCTTGTAAAAGTCATGGGGTTCCTGACTGACCTAAAGGTTTATAATTATCATTGCAGCATGAGCTAAATCAAAGATTTTTTAAAGGATCTAAGACAAAGTTACCGGATCCCTTTAAATATATTCAATCATTTTAAGTGAATTTTGTTCGAAATTGCACAACACATGACTTTTTTAACAAAAAAATAAAAAATAATAAGTATGAACATCTTGCAACTACTAAAATTTCTCAGTCTCCATAGGCTTTACTACAGGAGCCACACGATTTGTTATTTGATTGGTACTTTGTACGAGTCTTATTTCATGTATTTTGCTTCACTGCAGGTGGCTCTCCTTCTCCAGTAGGAGCGATAGTAGGGGGTGTCATCGGTACCCTCTTTATCTTCATCCTGGTCATTATTCTCGTCCTTGGCATCTTTAGAAGGTAAGTAAAAGGGAGACCGTTGCCCAAGGTTCATTTAAATAGTTGAAACACACTGTAAACAGACACCAAATGAAAAATGAAACAAATACTAAAAACAATGACTAACTTTCTTACACTTTTTGAGTAATTTGCAAAAAGGTATTACTACAAAATGACCCAATTTATTTGTGAAATGAATAATATCAGAGTACTGGTACTATTATCACCCTCTGTGATTTTCTTTTGCAATGTTTTTTATGGTTATGTTCATAAAGGACTCTTTACACAGAAAATTTAATCTTTGCTGGAAATTGTTTGTCAATAAAATCGTTGCATACTATGACATTCAATTTGAAACCAAATGGAAATGGATGTTGATTGTAAGTGAAATCTGAAACTCAATTTTCCAGCCTTTTTCTTTCAAGTTTTCTTGGTAATCATACAGGAAATGTGGTATATATGTTTATGTGCGTGCAGATAGTCTGAAAGGTACGTGCTTCCTGATGAGACTTAATTCTTGATTTAAAAAAAAAAAGTGTTGACTTATTGACTCTTATATTTTTAAAGGTTTTGTTGCATGGTTAATATGGTTTGCAGAGCACACAACATTTTATTTGAGATTTTTAACTGTTTCCAGTTCAATACTGGTGTTAACAATAATATTCAGGGTTTATATAGCGCTTAATACATTGACGATGTCTCTAAGCGCTTTACAGATATATTATTAACCTGGTTAATTGGATTCCGGCTTGCCTACACACAATGTTTGCACATTCTCCACTCCCTGGGGAGCATTCCAGCCCGGCGCCATTTTACAGATGCTCACCATGCTGAACAACCTACACTAATGTTTACATTCTACCGGGTACCCATTTAGCACCTGGGTGGAGAGTGGCAAATGTAGATTAACTTCTTGCCAAAGGACGTTAGTGTCGGGCTGGGATTTGAACCTGAACCTGGATCTACAGTCCGGTGACTTATCCACTAGACCA